TATATATATAATGGTTGCTTCTAGCTGCAGTTTAGCTTATTCAGTCTTGGCTATAAAGACTTGTCAATTAAGCTTTACTTGAAATGAGTGCACTTGCTAACCCCAAGAAACAATGAGGGGCTTCAGCTGAAATCGTCAATGATTAGAGTATTGCAGGTGGATGAGATTATAGCCTGTGGGTTTCCTATCTGACCTTTGGCCTAAGTTGTATTACTTTTTTTTAGTTAAATTTGAATAGTGTGTTATTGTTTCCTTAGTGCTATGAACTTTGAGACCATATGATCATGCTATTTATAGAGAATGTGGCATTTTTTAATAAAAAGAAATTAAGGCTCTAACTTGTCACCATTCACACTACTAATAACTATCAGAACTAGAATTTGAGCCCAGATATTCTTATATGCAATTCCAGTGCTCTATTAACCTGCACAATTTTTACTCCCCTTCATAAAATAATTTAAAAACAAAAACATGATTCAATACATGTTCGTGGAAACTCAGAGAAATTGTAATTGTTTCTTGTACAAAAAAATAAAAACTAAAAGGACCTTTGTCTTCCCTTACTCTACTTAAGATTAAAATACATGTGGGGCTAGAGAGATGGCTCAGCATTTAAGAGCACTGACTGCTCTTCCAGAAGTCCTGAGTTCAATTCCCAACAACCACATGGTAGCTCACAACCATCTACAGTAGGACATGATGCCCTTTTTGGCATGCAGGTATACATACAGAGCATTCATTCATAACAGAAACGAATAAAAAAATTAAATCCATTCGAGGCCAGCCTGGTCTACAAGAGCTAGTTCCAGGACAGGCACCAAAAACTTGAGAGAAACCCTGTCTCAAAAATCCAAAAAAAAAATTAAATCCAAATAGGAAGCCAGGTGGTGGTGGCAGTACATGCCTTTAATCCCAGAAGGCTGAGTTCAAAGCCAGCCTGGTCTTAAAGAGCAAGTTCCAGGACAGCCAGGGTTACACAGAAAAACCCTGCCCCCAAAAAACAAAAACAAAAAACAGTGATTTTTACCAAATCCAATCTGATTATATACAATATTTTAATAAAAATTATATAGAACTATTTATTGAATCTTTTGGGGTTTTTGTTTGTTTGTTGCTTGTTTTTGGATTTTCAAGACAGGGTTTCTCTGTAGTTTTTGGTGCCTGTCCTGGGACTAGCTCTTGTAGACCATACTGTCATCGAACTCACAGAGATCCGCCTGCCTCTGCCTCCTGAGTGCTGGGATTAAAGACGTGCACCACCACCGCCCAGCTACTTATTGAATCTTTTTTTTAAAGGTTTATTTATTTATTTATTCATGAATACAACATTCTGCCTGTATATGCTTGCATGCCAGAGGGCATCAGATCTCATTACAGATGGTTGTGAGCCACCATGTGGTTGCTGGGAATTGAACTCAGGACCTTTGGAAGAGCAGGCAATGCTCTTAACCTCTGAGCCATTTCTCCAGCCCCTACTTATTGAATCTTAAAGAGGAGCAGGGCATGGTGGTATATGGTTGTATCCTGGTACTTAGGAAGCTAAAGTAAGAGGATTGTGGGTTTGAGGCCAGAATGAGACCCTACCTCAAGACCAGATAGACAAACAAAATTTAGGACAGGCATAGAAGTGGACCACCCATAATCTCACCAATTAGGGAGCAGAGACTGGAGCATTATTAAAAGTTAACCTGGGCTGCATTGCATAGTTAATCAGGTCAGTTTAGGGGTAACCAAATCGTTTCTTTAAAAAAAAAAAAAAAGTTTATGTTTCTACAGAATCTATCTGAAGAGATACCCTTGGAGCTCAGTGGTTAAGAGTACTTGTTGCTGTTCCAGAGGACTAGAGTTCAGCTCTGTTGGCTGTGGATGGAGGGAGACTAGAGTTAATAACCAGACTCTAGCTCCAGGGGATCCATTGTCTTCTTCTGACCTCTGTGGGAACCAGCACTACTGGGTAGCATATACACCCAGATACACACATGACCAAATAAAATATAAATGAGAGAAACTAAACCTCATCTACCTCGTTCTTTGCTGTGCTTTGTCTCAAAATGTAAGAGTGTGTATTTAACAAATACGTTCATTTATTTAAGTATTTTGAGTCAGGCTTGCTATATAGCATGGCTGATCTGGAACTCACAGTATAGACCAAACTGTCCTCAAGCTTATAATGATCCTCCTGCCTCCACCTCTCTAGCACTGAGATTATAGGTATGTACCACCATGCCTAGTTATTTAGTAAATCTTAAGTGATAGGTCTAACTTACTTAAACATTTATTTGGAATTGCTTATATCTACTAAGACTTTACAAAAGAAAGAGAGAAAGAGAGGGGGGGGGAGAAAGAAAGAAAGAAAGAAAGAAAGAAAGAAAGAAAGAAAGAAAGAGAAGGAAGAAAGAAAGAGAAAGAAAGAAAGAAAGAAAGAAAGAAAGAAAGAAAGAAAGAAAGAAAGAAAGAAAGAAAGAAAGAAAGAAAGAAAGAAAGACTTTACCACTTAATATGAGATGCCAGAATTGAAGCCAGAAGTTCTGGTTCTTTCCTGTCCTGAAGCTATCTGCATTTTTGTTGTAGATAAGAACATATAGCTGGAAATACATGTCTTAGGAGAACGTACAAATAGTGCCCTTCTAACTACAAGACTTGCTGTGAAGAATATAAAGATAGTTGTGTATTTAATGTTGGTATTTTACTGTGCTTCAGCTTTGATGTTTTTTTCTCAACTAGGGTCTCTATATATAGTTCAGACTTGCCTGGAATTCACCAGGAATAGCCCAGTCTAGCCTAAAACTCATGATCCATCTGCGTCCTGCGTGCTAAGATTATAGACATATACCCCTATGCGTGGTGCAGTGGTGTTTTCACTCCTAATCCAGTGTAAATGAAGAGTCTTCAGGTATGAGTGGATGCATGCAGCATGATGACAAAGTACACCAAAACAGGACAGCTCTCCTCAGGAACTGTGAAGACTTCATTCTCACTAGACAGTTTCTCCAGTGACATGCAAGCTTGAAAAGGGGCCAAGTCCTGAGCTGCTGGCCTCATGGTGTGATGGTGCCACAGAGACTGAGCACTTTTAAAAACTGGTCACTCTCCTCCTGGAGTACATGTAGAGCAGTCTACAGAGCAGTCACAGGCATTTTGGAGTGTCTGTAACTGTTACCATTTCAGAGCCTTTAAAGACAGGTATTCTCACCTCCGGGCAGTGGTGGCAAACTCCTTTAATCCCAGCACAGGAGGCAGAGATCTTTGTAAGTTCAAGGCCAAGCTGGTCTACAAGAGCTAGTTCCAGGATAGTCTCTACAGCTACAGAAAAACCATGACTCAAAAAACCAAAAATAAAAAGACAGGTATTCTGTACTGGTAATACCCAAACAGGACCTTGCAAAGGGCACTTTAGAAAAATATT